GGCTCAGTCCAACAAGAGGATATAACCATTCTAAATATATATGCACCCAATACAGGAGCACCAGCATATGTGAAGCAAATACTAACAGAACTAAAGAGGGAAATAGACTGCAATGCATTCATTGTAGGAGACTTCAACACACCACTCACCCCAAAGGATAGATCCACCGGGCAGAAAATAAGTAAAGACACACAGGCACTGAACAACACACTAGAACAGATGGACCTAATAGACATCTATAGAACTTTACATCCAAAAGCAACAGGATATACATTCTTCTCAAGTGCACATGGAACATTCTCCAGAATAGACCACATACTAGCTCACAAAAAGAGCCTCAGTAAATTCCACAATATTGAAATTCTACCAACCAATTTTTCAGACCACAAAGGTATGAAAGTAGAAATAAATTCTACAAAGAAAACAAAAAGGCTCACAAACACATGGAGGCTTAACAACATGCTACTAAATAATCAATGGATCAATGAACAAATCAAAATAGAGATCAAGGAATATATAGAAACAAATGACAACAACAACACTAAGCCCCAACTTCTGTGGGATGCAGCGAAAGCAGTCTTAAGAGGAAAGTATATAGCAATCCAGGCACACTTGAAGAAGGAAGAACAATCCCAAATGAATAGTCTAACATCACAATTATTAAAACTGGAAAAAGAAGAACAAATGAGGCCTAAAGTCAGCAGAAGGAGGGACATAATAAAGATCAGAGAAGAAATAAACAAAATTGAGAAGAATAAAACAATAGCAAAAATCAACGAAACCAAGAGCTGGTTCTTTGAGAAAATAAACAAAATAGATAAGCCTCTAGCCCAACTTATTAAGAGAAAAAGAGAGTCAACACAAATCAACATAATCAGAAATGAGAATGGAAAAATCACGACAGACTCCACAGAAATACAAAGAATTATTAAAGACTACTATGAAAACCTATATGCCAACAAGCTGGAAAACCTAGAAGAAATGGACAACTTCCTAGAAAAATACAACCTCCCAAGACTGACCAAGGAAGAAACACAAAAGTTAAACAAACCAATTACAAGCAAAGAAATTGAAACAGTAATCAAAAAACTACCCAAGAACAAAACCCCGGGGCCGGACGGATTTACCTCGGAATTTTATCAGACACACAGAGAAGACATAATACCCATTCTCCTTAAAGTGTTCCACAAAATAGAAGAAGAGGGAATACTCCCAAACTCATTCTATGAAGCCAACATCACCCTAATACCAAAACCAGGAAAAGACCCCACCAAAAAAGAAAATTACAGACCAATATCCCTGATGAATGTAGATGCAAAAATACTCAATAAAATATTAGCAAACAGAATTCAACAGTATATCAAAAGGATCATACACCATGACCAAGTGGGGTTCATCCCAGGGATGCAAGGATGGTACAACATTCGAAAATCCATCAACATCATCCACCACATCAACAAAAAGAAAGACAAAAACCACATGATCATCTCCATAGATGCTGAAAAAGCATTTGACAAAATTCAACATCCATTCATGATAAAAACTCTCAGCAAAATGGGAATAGAGGGCAAGTACCTCAACATAATAAAGGCCATATATGATAAACCCACAGCCAGCATTATACTGAACAGCGAGAAGCTGAAAGCATTTCCACTGAGATCGGGAACCAGACAGGGATGCCCACTCTCCCCACTGTTATTTAACATAGTACTGGAGGTCCTAGCCACGGCAATCAGACAAAACAAAGAAATACAAGGAATCCAGATTGGTAAAGAAGAAGTTAAACTGTCACTATTTGCAGATGATATGATACTGTACATAAAAAACCCTAAAGACTCCACTCCAAAACTACTAGAACTGATATCGGAATACAGCAAAGTTGCAGGATACAAAATTAACACACAGAAATCTGTAGCTTTCCTATACACTAACAACGAATCAATAGAAAGAGAAATCAGGAAAACAATTCCATTCACCATTGCATCAAAAAGAATAAAATACCTAGGAATAAACCTAACCAAGGAAGTGAAAGACTTATACTCTGAAAACTACAAGTCACTCTTAAGAGAAATTAAAGGGGACACTAATAAATGGAAACTCATCCCATGCTCATGGCTAGGAAGAATTAATATCGTCAAAATGGCCATCCTGCCGAAAGCAATATACAAATTTGATGCAATCCCTCTCAAATTACCAGCAACATTCTTCAATGAATTGGAACAAATAATTCAAAAATTCATATGGAAACACCAAAGACCCCGAATAGCCAAAGCAATCCTGAAAAAGAAGAATAAAGTAGGGGGGATCTCACTCCCCAACTTCAAGCTCTACTACAAAGCCATAGTAATCAAGACAATTTGGTACTGGCACAAGAACAGAGCCACAGACCAGTGGAACAGATTAGAGACTCCAGACATTAACCCAAACACATATGGTCAATCAATATTTGATAAAGGAGCCATCGACATACAATGGCAAAATGACAAGTCTCTTCAACAGACGGTGCCGGCAAAACTGGACAACTACATGTAGGAGAATGAAATTGGACCATTGTCTAACCCCATACACAAAAGTAAATTCAAAATGGATCAAAGACCTGAGTGTAAGTCATGAAACCATAAAACAACAAATTTGACTGGATCTATACTGTTGGAACTCAACCAAGAATTTGGAGAAGTGCAAGTTGCAGCGCTCCAAAATCTTGCAACTATAGACTATCTTCTGTTAAAAGAACATATGGGATGTGAACAGTTCCCAGGAATGTGTTGTTTTAATTTGTCTGAATTTTCTCAAACTATTCAAATTCAGTTAGACAATATCCATCATATCATTGATAAGTTTTCACAAATGCCTAGGGTGCCTAACTGGTTTTCTTGGTTTCGCTGGACATGGCTGGTAATTGTAGGTCTGCTTTGGTTATATAGCTGTATTCCTATTATGTTAATGTGTGTATGCAGAGGTGAAGGAAGTAGAGAACATGTGGACAGTGCTCTGGACCACATAAGCCTGCTTTACTCTAAGAATAACTACTGTTCTGTGCTTTAAATATTGTAAGTTTGCATATGATTTCATTAGGAAAAAAGAAAAGCTTTTGTAGCTAAGAAATATTTTTAAAATACAAAGTAATAAAATATTTCATGATGTGGGAAAATTATATACTGACAGATGAAAAGGCAGGTATTAAACCAGCATTATGAAATTCTAGCAAATTGAACTTAGCAGCATACTTAAGGAACAATATTATCATGACCAACTGCAATTAATCCCTGGAATTCAAGGATGGTTCAACATATGACAATCAGCCAATGTTACACAACACATTAATATAATGAAGGGAAAAAACCCACATGATCACCTCAATTGATGGAGAAAAAGCATTGACAAAATTCAACACTTTCATGAAAAAAAACAATCAACTGAAAATAAAAAGGAACTTCTTCAACAAAATAAAGGCTATGTTGAAAAACCTACAGCTAGCAATCCTGAGAAGGAAAAATAAAGCTTGGGGGGATTTTGCTCCCCAACTTCAAGCTCTACTACAAGCCAAAGTAATCAAGACAATTTGGTACTGGCACAAGAACAGATCCATAGACCAATGGAACAGACTAGAGAGCCCAGATATAAACCCAAGCATATATCATCAATAAATATATGATAAAGGAGCCATGGACATACAACAGGGAAATGACAGCCTCTTCAACAACTGGTGTTGCCATAACTGGACAGCTACATGCAAGAGAATGAAACTGAATTATTGTCTAACCAACCCCATACACAAAAGTAAACTCGAAATGGATCAAAGATCTGAATGTAAGTCATAAAACCATAAAACTCTTAGAAGACAACACAGGCAACCATCTCCTGAATATAAACATGAACAACTTTTTCCTGAATGCATCTCCTCGAGCAAGGGAAACCAAAGCAAAAATGAACACATGGGACTACATCAAACTAAAAAGCTTCTGTACAGCAAAGGACACCATCAACAGAACAAAAAGGCATCCATCCTACAGTATGGGAGAATATATTTGTAAGTGACATATCTGACAAGGGATTAACATCCAAAATATATAAAGGACTCACACGCCTCAACAACCAAAAAGCAAATAAACCAATTAAAAAATGGGTGGAGGATATGAACAGACAATTCTCCAAAGAAGAGATTCAGATGGCCAACAGGCACATGAAGAGAAGCTCCCCATCACTAATTATCAGGGAAATGCAAATAAAAACCACAATGAGATATCACCTCTCCCCAGTTAGGATGGCCAGTATCGAAAAGACTAAGAACAACAAATGCTAGCGAGGATGTGGAGAATGGGGAACCTTCCTACACTGCTGGTGGGAATGTAAGCTGGTTCAACCAGTATGTGGAAAACAGTATGGAGGTTCCTCCAAAAAGTAAAACTAGAAATACCATTTGACCCAGGAATTCCACTCCTAAAAATTTGCTCAAATACAAATTCTCACATTCAAAAAGACATATGGACCTCTATGTTTACTGCAGCACTATTTGCAATAGCCAAGATATGGAAGCAACCTAAGTGTCCATCAGTAGATGAATGGATAAAGAAGATGTGATACATATACACAATGAAATACAATTCAGCCATAAGAAAAAAACAAAGATTTGCAACAACATGGATGGAGCTGGAGGATATTGCTTAGTGAAATAAGCCAGGAGGAGAAAGACAAGTACCAAATGATTTACCTCATTTGTGGAGTACAGCAAAGCAAAACTGAAAGAACAAAACAGCAGCAGACTCACAGACTCCAAGAAGGGACTAGTGGTTACCAAAGGGGCGGGGTGGAGAGGGACGGAAAAGGGGATTGAGGGGTATTATGATTGGCACACATGGTGTGTAGGGGGGATCATGGGGAAGACAGTGTAGCACAGAGAAGGCAAATAGTGACTCTGTGGCATCTTACTATACTGATGGGCAGTGACTGCAATGGGGTATGGGGGGGGACATGATAGTATGGGTGAAGGTAGTAACCACATTGGTTTTTCATGTGAAAGCTTCATGACAGTGTATATCAATAATACTTTAATGAAAAAAAAAGAAAAAGAAAAACCTACAGATAACATCATGCTTAATGGTGAAAGACAGAAAGCAACTCTCTTAACATCAGGAGCTGGACAAGAGTGCTTGCTTTCACCACTTCTACTTAACATATATTGGAAGTTCTAGCCAGAGGAATTAGGCAAAAAAAAAGTATTCAAATCAGAAAGGTAGAAGTAAAATGATCTGTGAATGCAGATGATATGATTTTACATATGGAAAACCCTAAATATTCCACCAAAAAAAAAAAACCTATTAGAGCTAATAAACAAATTCAGGCTGTCTCCGCCTAAGCCTACCCTGTTGGTTCCCAGGATGCCAGTAGAAAGTGAGGCAAAAGACTAATCTAATCTTAGATTCCCTTAAATACACCAAGAATTCGGTTGTGTGAGTGTGAAATAGGCAACAGTGTGCAAGGTCCCCATTAAGAGATAATCAGCACCTTTTCCCTTGTTGCTTCTCTGACTCTCTGCCCCAGCCCAGGAAATCCTCACCTGGCTTCCCAGGGGCCAGGGTGCTAGTTCTGTAGTTCTTCTCTTTTCAGTCTATTGTTTATGACACAAATTTTATGATTCCTTCATGGTTTTACTTTGATACTTAAAAAACAAGCTCCTTTCTCTCTCAAAATATCTGTCAGTCTAAACTTTGGGTTTCCATTCTTTATCCATTCAGTTCATGCACTTCAGGGGTAGGTCATTCATTTAGTTTCCTGAGCTGTTGTAACAAGTGACCACAAACTCCACAGCTTAAAACAACACACCTTTATTCTCTTACAGTTCTGGAGTTCAGAAGTCCAACACGGGTCTCACTGGCCAACATCAGTGTGTTGGCAGGGGTGTGTTTCCTCTGTTGCTTGCCATTGGTGGCTTCTAGAAGCAACCCCCTTTTGTGGGCACTGACTTTCTTTCCTGGTCTCCAGGGCCAGCAGCCTAGCGCTCAGTGCTGCTTTTGCTACCATCTCTCTGGTTCTCTTCTGCCTCCTCTTCTGCTTCTAAGGATCCTTGTGATGGCATCAGGCTCATCAGGATAATCTCATCTCAGTGTTAACCCGTTAGCAAACAATTTCATCTCCAACTTTAGTTTCCATTTGCCACATAAACTAACATGTTTACAGGTTCCAGGGATTAGGACTTGGACATGTTCAGAGGGTATTATTCTACTTCCCACAGTCATACCTAGTTTCAACCATTTAGCACAATCCATTCCCTTGGCTGCAGCCATAGGTATACAGTTACAGGCATATAGCCTAACCCAGTCCAGACCGAGTGAATGTCAACTCTACTAGGAATGCTGGGGTGGAAGGACTCGCCCCCTTCCTCCAGACGTGTCCTGTCCAGTGCAGCAGCCACTAGCCACATGAGGCTATGGAGCATTTGCATTTGAAAGGTGGGTAGTGTGACTGAGATGTTCGGTAAATGGAAAATACACACTGAATCTTGAAGACATAGTACAAAATAAAATGAATGTAAACTATGTCCTTAAAATTTTTTGAATGATTGCACATTGAGACTGTATTTTGCATATATTGGGTTAAATGGAATATAATATTAGAATTATTTATACCCTTTTCTTTTTGCTTTTTTAGGATGTGACTACTAGAAAAATTTGAATCACAAATAAGTCTTGCATTATATTTCCACTGGGCAGTGCTGCTCCAGATGGTGTAGGGAATAGATGGGAAGCCTGGACTCACTGCAGTAATTTTTTTCCTGGTGTGGGACGTCAGCTCAGGATGAAGCTGCAGCTGAAGGAGGCCGAGCAGAGAGAAACCGGCTCCTTGATGACATCATTGGGCCACTGGTGCAACCAACCTCGAACCTTCCAAGCATCACCTTTCCATCCTAATGTCTTCATAGACTTCATATCCCCTCTTCTTCAGCCCTACAGGTTAACACTGCCCCAGGCTGTGCCTCGCTTCCCGTAGTCTCAAATATGTCAAAATAAATCTTTGAGCAATTACAAATTTTTTTAAACTGATACATTTTAGTAAGTAGCCCATGTTCATTGTAGTAAGTTTGGTCAATACAGTAAAGTAAGAGGACAACATCTATAACCCCACCACTCGGAGACTGCCTCTGCTGACGTTCATTTCCTAACTAAAGCCAACATTCCATCTGGAACATGTAACTCAAATTGCATTTAAGTCAAAGAGTACAACATTCATGACATCATCCAGGGAGCAGCCTCCAGAATGTGTTTGCTTACAAGACAGAGCAGGGAGAGGGATAGTTTCCCGCTTCCTTCTTCTGGTACCTTCTTCATTTCACAGTCCCTCTGCTCATCTCTGAGACTTCTGAGGATTTGGGGTTTCCCTCCTCAAACTGCCAGGGCGAGCTCACTCTCACAGCATACAGTACAGCTGCCAGGCCCCTGAAGGTGAAACTCTGGCGCTTTCAACCCTTCAGCTCCGCTCTGCTCTACGACCTCCCCCCTTGTAGACCCTTCTCAGCACCATGGAACTCAGCAAGTTCAGTGTCAGCATCAGCCGTGAAGCTGCTCTGTAAGCCTCCTGTTACTGAGGCCTCCTTGGCTTCCAATGGTCTTAAATCTGTGTCTGCCTGAACCTAAGCAAAGTTTAGGGTGCCTTAGAAAACTATAGATGATTTTTCAAAATTGGAATAAAGCTGTGCCAATAATAATAGAGAAATCCCACAGGCATGGGTGAGAATCTCACAATAACAGAAGCAGCATGAGGCTGAAAGAGAAAGGCCCTCTTGAGCTGCCTCCTGCCATGCGCTCTTGCTTATAAAAAGTTGTTCAAGCCCGGAAAGCTTCATGTCCTCCAACATAATGCAACGTTTTCTGTATCTCAGAAGTTGTATTGTGCACCAAATGAACATGGCCCAGTTTACCTTTTTTTTCTAGAGCAGCTTTTTTATAGGGGTGGAAGCAGAGTGAATCACAGATCTGAAATAAGAGTATTTTAGGACATTTTCTATTCAATTGCATGTTATTTTTTACTAAAAATGGTAAATTTCTTTTTAACAATTCAGAGGTTATTTCATTCACAAATAAATTTAAGATGAAAATTATCCAAAGCCTTAATAAAGACTCTCTAAACTTAAGCAAAGGCAGTATCAGATGTGGGATTTTGCCGGTGTTTGATTGTATTATGGCCGGGAGCAAGGACTTCCTCAATCCTTGGCCCGTCCCTCCAAGGGGTTTCTGTGCCATGAAGAGCAGTCAAATGGGAAGCAAAGCATGACTTGGTTACATACTCCCAAATGTGGGTCGCCTTGGTGGGAATGAATTGGAGAATGTGGCTTAGGCCAGGATGACACTGTGGGACTGTGCTATGCTCTCTGCCCTCCTGAATCCCAGAGGGCCTTCTGCAGAGCAGCCTCAAGCTAACTGACATGCCCCATGCAGGCAGAGAGGTGCGAGAAGAGGGACTTGGCCAGACCTGGCTACCCAGGGAAATTGGCCTTGACCCTTTCTTCTGCTTACTGGCTCAGGATGCAGGCTGAACAGGCCTGAGGCTGCCTAGGATGAAGCCCCTGCAGGTTGTGGACACTGCAGGGGAGTGGAAAGTGTCAGGGGTGAGTGGAAAGGATTCTGTTGACCTTTATGGTGGAAACAACAACTTCAAAAGTTGTTCTTAATGAATCAGCAATTTCCTCTCCCTCTGTGTAAAGGAGAGGTACAGAGGGGCACAGGAGGGGCAGAAATGTGGGGACACCTAGTCTAGAACCTCATGCCTAGTAGTCAACTAGCAGGCATTTGCTATTGCTTGACCATTGTGATGGAAGGAGCATCTTCATTCTTACTATCAGGGAGTCACCACAATGTACTAATGTGTTATGGAGTGTTTGCAAATGTTAAGCTGTAATATCTATCCCTCCCTTCAAGGAGCTTGTAATCTAATTGAGACAATTCAGAAACATGAAACTGTATCTGCAAAGATTTACATAAATGTTGAATAACACAACATTCAAAGCAGCCCACGGGTAATTATCTGGTGGGTTATAAGGGCAATATTCACTAAAGCCTTTCCCAGGAAGGAGAAGCACTGTGAGCGAGGCTGTCCAGGGGGAGACCCGAGGAAACAGGACTTCCACTGCACCTTGTAAGACAGTTTTATGTTACAGAGGAGAAGAGAAGACGGGCAGGATGTTCCAAGAAGGTGTAGGCACATATAGGAGAGACCAAGGTAGATTTCAGAGACAGTGAATACAACTGTTTGACCAGAGCACAGAATTAGTTCATTAGGAGTATTTAGGAAGGTTAGATTGATGGGTTATGTTGGTGGCAGCAGATTTTTAAGGAGTTCAAGTGCCAAGCTAAGGAATCTGAATTTTACTTATTGTCAATGGGGAGCCACTTAAGGCTTCTAAGCTTAGTGATGACAACATCAAAGAGAAGTTAAAACTACATATTTGGGAAATAATGCTCAAAAACAATGATATGGGAGTATTGGGTTGTGGGTATTTTTTTTCTTCTCTACTTTACAAACATTCTACAATGGTTTATAGTCAGGTCTTTTCTTGCTAAAATGTATAAGTAATTTTCTTCATGGTCTCTCTATGTTATGTTTTCTTTTCCAGAACTTTCTTCATTTTAGGGCATTTGGTTTTGATTTGCAATAAGTTGAGGTATCACACTAACTTGCTGTCCTACTTGGATTCTAGCCTAATAGTGCAGACAACCCTTTATCATAGGCCTGATATCTCCATAGTACTTGGCTAAAGATTTCCCAGCAATAAGAGATCATGAGCTGTTCCTATAAATACCTAATTAGAAATTGTCTTGCTTTTCTTCCTCCATTTCTTTTCAGAAGAGAGGAGAAGACGTTTTTAATTCAGTTCATTTCCCCCCGCCCACATCCAGCACATACAGAGGACTCATTGGCCTCTTACTGGACTCATTTCTCTGTATGCAGTACATTTCCCTTCTGAGATGTTCCTCAGCCTGATTCCCTTCATCCCCATAGGCTAATGGAAAAACATCCTCACGGACATACCCAGAGATAATGTGCTACCAGCTATCTGTGCATACTTAGCCCAGTCAGGCTGACATGTAAAATGAACCATCTCAATACTTAACCCCTGTGAGTTTCAGTTTCTTCACCTTGAACTGGAAGTAAGACCTCCTCCATCTCGGGACAGCTGTGAGGAACAAGGCAGACGGTGATGGTCCACAGTAGAGGCTCCAAGGTTGCTTCTGCCTTCTAGTAAACAGGAGACCCAAATGAACTCTAATCGTTTCCGTGAAAGCCTCAGGCCGCTTCGGTGCCTCCTCTGCCTCCCTGTAGGTGTACCTCAGGGTTTGCCCATCGCCTTTGAGATGACTGGAGGGGGGGGGGCACAGCTGGGTGGTACAGTAAACTCATCTATTTTCCTGTATATCTCCTTCCCAGCTAAAAAGCATGTATCTCCAAAAGACCTTTAGTTGGGGTTCCTAACAGTAGGAGTTTTGGGGTCTGGGAAGCTCCAAGGAAAAATTGTGAAACAGATCATTAGGTAGGACTTTTCCTGACAGACTGAAATTGGGGCTACAGCTGTAGCTGAGGACAAGAGGAGCTAATATTGAGAGAATGTGCCAGTAATGGGGACCAGACGCACCACCCCAGAGCTTGCCAACAGTGGCTGAGCTCTGCTCCCATCACCATCCCGCCGTGGATTCTGTCAGCAAAGACTGCAGAGTGGTTCAGAGCACATACTGAGTAGGGAGTCTCTCCCCACCCACCAAGGAAAGGGGATGCTGCCTCCCTGTGGATCAAGGGAAGAGAGGACGCCCCTCACACATCACTCACAGGCAATGAGGATGCCCGAGAGAGGCCCTGCTTTGAGCATCTCATTTCCCAGTGGTCCCGGGATGTCAGCTTAGATGGTGGCAGACTTGCTGGCCACCCTGTGCTCACGTACGCAGGGGCAAGTGAGTTGGAAAGAGATGGCTGGACCCAGGGGAGGGGTAGCAGCTGCAGTCCCATGCTGGAGGGTCCCAGAGCTGCTGGCTCTGTGGTGTGGTGGCTTTGCAATGCCAACTTGCTGAGCTGAACCAGGTCTCCCACAACTCCCTTTCTGCACACGATCTGGAAGATGGGAGTGGAGCAGTAGCCACGGCTACTCTGGAAGGTCCAGGTAGGTCAGGATGCTGGTTTTTGCAGATGGAATGGCTCCATTGTTGGTGGGCAAGCAAACTGGCTAAAGCCCCAGCTTCCACGGGATCTCTTCCTTCAGCTCTTCCAGATCCTAGGCCAGGTACAAATGTGACTCTGCAGCCAGAGCAGCAGTGTCTCCCATCAGTCCTCTGTGGCCACATCTGTGGTGATGGGAAGGGGCTGACGTGCACGCTGGTGAGAGGCAGGCGGAGGTCCACTGCACCTGCCCTCCACTCTGCATGCATCTTTCCTTCCCCATCACACATCCTGGCAGCAGATCCAGGAGGAACCCAGGACTGACACTGTTCTACCAGCTCCATCAGTGGAGTTAAATACCTACAGTAAAGCCCTTATTTTACAGCACTCCTGAGGTTCTGCTTCTCCAGTGAGCGCCGCCTGATACCTGTGCTTTCCCCCAAACCAGTCACGATACCTCTAAATTACATGGAGCAACTCGGTGTAGTAAGGGAGTCAGGCAAGTGTTCCAACGCCAGCTTTTCAACCAACTGGCTGTGGCTTTGGCTTTGGCGCTTAGCCCTCCAAACCTCGGTTTCATCACTGACGCTGGGACTAGGTGGTCTCGCAAGATGTTTCCAAGCTTAAACATATAAGCAAATACGTGATACTAAAGTTAATTTTTAAGACTTTCTGAGCTCTTTAAAAGCAATTGTGAAATTTCAATTATTACAGAACTATTACTCACTGGCTAATTCCAAACTTTCTAACAATTCTCCTGCTACTCAGTCATGGCAAACCCTTTTGGGGCACATATAAAGCTCAGAATGCCTCATTCTTTGGGAACTGCCCCTGGTGCACTAGGCCAGGCCCCTGGCAGCCACAGTAATATTATAGGAGCACCCCCT